AACCCAAGCTTCTTGAGCCCTCTCTGCTCTGGGCTTTTCAAGTCTGGGTAGAAGACCATGTCCATAGGAAGCTCTTCTTGCCCAAGGAGCTTCAGGAGGTGTTTGGGTTGTCCATGACCCATCTGTTCTCAATCTCTGCTTAGCACAACAATGATTTATCTTTCGTATAATGTCCCTCTCTAGCATTTCAGACAGTGATGTTAAGACTGGACCAGACACTCTGGTCCACACCAGTGGCCATTCTGGTCGGGTAAAACCCTGTGGACTAGAATATCCATCAAACTGGTGGACTGGCCTGTTCAACCAGTCCAAGCTTAACTGGCCATTCCCGATATGGCTTAAACAACCAAGAAGACTTTCATTTTTTTTTTTTTTTTTTCAAAATTAAGTCAAAATCTGTCATGATTTCCCTTTTTTTCCTTCGAAATTGAAATAATTTAGGGAAGTTTGTTCTTTTTATATTTGGATGGTTCTGGGTTTTAAAAAGTGGTTTTTAGAGAGAGATGCTTCAGCAATTTTTGCGCTGTGTGTGTGTATTTGAGAACCCCCAATTTCTGGGCCATACTATGGTGATTTTGGGGATTTCAGCCATATTATTCCCTAATTCAAGCCCCAAGTATGTTAAACCTTTTTTTTTTTTCTAATTTGTTTGTTTTATATTTGGAAAAAATAGGAAAAAAATTCAGATTTTTAGGGTTGCGTAGGTTAAAACCAATGCAATAAGTTGTTTCTTCTATTTAATTCAATGGTTGTTTTTGCTTTAATACATTTATTATTGTCGGTTTTGCTTATTTGGCATCTTATATGCATTTATTTGTATGGATTTAATTTAATTCTGACTGGCCAGATTCTGTTGAGATGTGCTCAGTCAATTGTTTACGTCTGAAAAGGTTTCGAGAACCTGAAGCCTTGGAACTTATGGTCCTTCACCCAATTACGCAGAAATGAAGCCCAGTAACGACGTACCATCGAATATGAAATGTGTTAGTGGCTTTAGTCACAGTTTTTATATTTTTATTGTATAATTAGTTTTGTCATTATTGTTTTGCTGATTGGTAACAAAAAGGTTGTCATAGTGGAATTTAGAAATAGATCAATAATTTTCAAAACACACTTATTTTTGCTTTTTGTCCAATAATCAGAATTGTAAGTGATGCACTTACACATGTTCTTGAATTATGATTAACATATACCTCTCAGTCTACCCCGATGCCTACAATGTGTGATCTCTCTTTCCTCTTCCTACCCCAGGATAAGGCTGACTGTTTGGAGGGGCCTTTCTCAGAGGAGGACATCCTTAAAAGTTATCAAGGACCTAGGATAAGACAAAGTCCCTGGCCCTGATGGTTTCCTAGTTGCCCCATTCGACATCTTTTGGGACCTCATGCACTCGGATATTGTTAAGTTTTTCAATGAATTCCATGAGAGAGGTAGAATCCATAATGCTATGAATGCCACTTTCCTAGCCCTGGTGCCCAAAGTAGAGGGAGCTGAAGATCTAAAAGACTTCAAACCTATGAGCCTCCTTAATATCTCCTACAAAATCCTTGCTGAAGTCCTTACCTCCCACCTCTAAGAAGTCCCTAACTGGCATTTGTTAAAGAAACAAATACTAGATGGGGCCCTCATGGCACACGAGTGCATTCACTCAAGACACCTATCCAATATCCTGGGGATGGTTGTCAAGCTCGATTTAGAGAAGGCCTATGACCACATTGATTGACATTGATTGGTGACTACTTGATGAAGCCTGTCTAAAGTGAGGTTTGGTGCTAAATGGAAACTTTGGATCAAAGGGTGCAACTCGAGCCCATATTTCTCTGTTCCAAAGTAATGTAGCCCCTAAAGGTGTCTTCCCATCCTTGAGGGGCCTTTCCCATGGAGACCCCCTTCCCCCTTTCTCTTTACCCTGGTGGCTGAGGTATTCAACCAATCCATAGTTGGCCTCTGCTATAATAGAATCGTTGACGCTTCAAAGTTGCTAACAACGGTCTTGAGATTTTGCATCTACAATGTGCTTATGACACCTAATTTTCTGTGGTGCATTGCATTAGCAGATGCCTCTGGTTGTACGTCAAATGTCTTGCGTTGGCTACCGGTTTCTAAGTTAAAATGCACAAATCCAAAACTATGGGGGTACCTTGGAGCGCTAAACTGCCCTCGTGTGGCTATCTTAGTTTGTGGGTGAACAAACGACCTATTTTGATCTACCGCGTAGCTTCCTCGTCCAAGCAAGAAAACATATGCGTTAATGCACAACGGCTTTCGCACTAGCGCGCTCTTCCGTTGCTTGGTTCTTGCTATGCTCAAATCGTTGGTATCCCTCTTTCATCTCGCTCGCATGTATCTTAATCCTTAGTATAGTTCATGTAGCTCGACTATCAAATTGAACCAGAGGAAGAGACCTTTGGTTCGTGTGCTCAGGAATCGAGCGCTTGTTGTTAAACAGGATAAGGTGCGGCATTGATTCGATGCCTGCAAAGTACCTGGGGCTCCATCAGCTACGCAATAAGGAGCTAAAGGCCCCTATTATCAAAAGATTTGATTGGAGACTTTTGGCTTGGAAAGGTAGACTCCTCTCTTGAGCCAGATTCATCACATTCATCAAGGCCAACTTTTCCAACCTTCTGGTGAATGTATCAAATTTCACTCTTTCAAATGCCCCATTCTGTCGCTCTTTGCTGGAGAGGCTCTTATGAGAGATTTTCTCTGGTCAGAAATGGGTGACCATCAGAAAATCCACTGGGTCACTTGGAACACCATTGCGTAGCCCAAACACAAAGGTGGACTTGGTATTCTCAGTTTGAGACACTGCAACATGGCTTTGTTACGCAAATGGTGGTGGCTTTTTGCCACAGCCAGGCCATCTTTGGCAGTAGGTCGTCAGGCAGAAATACCACATCAATCATGTTGCTTGGCTAGCTTCCAACAGTCTTATTTCTTGACCATCAAGTGTTTGGCGCTTGATCACATCTTGAACACTTCAAGACCAACATCCATTTCAGTGCTAGAAAGGGCGGGAGGCTCCTTTTCTGGTGGGATACTTGAATTGAGACACAAATATACGAACAAAATATCCCTCCCTTCTCCTCCTGCAACTAACCCAGATGCTTCCATTTGGCAGTTCTTTTAGTCGGGGAGAAGAGTTTAGAGCCTGGTCTTTCAGAGATATGTACTGTACACGAGCTCACTGCTTTTGCCTCACTCTCAGGTCTTCTTTGGAACTTCCTACTGAGGGAGCAGACAGGATTGTATGGTCCCCTTCCACCTTTGGCCTATTCTCAGTGGTTTCTGTCTATGCGATTTTGCTCCAAGGCCCTTCCCCTTCCCCCCTCTTCCACACCCCGCCCCTTGCTCACCTAGCCACAGCTAGAAGAGCTTGGATGAGCATAATTCTGCCAAAAACCAAACTGTCTGCTGGGTTACTCTACCCGAGAAGGCCCTGATGGTGGACCAACCATATTGAAGAGGCTTCCCTCTTCCTAATCCCTGCCTTATGTGTAACTCAGCAAGGAGACGAACTACCATCGCTTCCTGTATTGCGATGTGGCTGGTAGCCTTTGGGCCAAGTTGCTACAAAGCTTCAGGTCATCATGGGTGCTTCCTTAGTCATCACAACAACTCTATCAAGCCTTCTCTTTTCCCCCCTATGCAAGGGCAGGTATCTTCCTTTGGTGTGCCTCGTTGGCAGACACTTTGGATCGCAAGAAATTACAGAATTTTCGAAGGGAGGGAGTCCAATCCCATGGCTCGAAGAGACTGCATCAAGTCCATGGTGATATTTGTGGGCCAAAACCATCATGGTCTGAAAATCATGACTTCTGGTTTCCTAAACAACTGGCAGGCGGATTTGGAATTCAGGCCACTACGGATTGCTCCTCCTTGTGAGAACCACATACATCGATCAAATCAAGCTCAACTTTAACGGTTGCTCCTTTAGCAATCCAGGTCCCACGGTTATGGTGCATCTTCAGAGACCACAATCACCACAGCCAAATCCGGCTACATCGGCTTTGCAGACTCAACCACCCCGAAGCAGTGACACTCTTAGATGCTATCAAGAGATTCAATTATGCTTGGGGCAGCTCTCTGGTCATGGGAGGAGACTCCAAAAACGTCATTGCATGGGCCTTAGCTGTTAGCACCTGCGCATTGCGACTGGAGCATATTCTTGAGCACTTTTTCTCTCTTTTCAGGCAAATTCACGTCTCTTTTCGACATACAGGAGGTGAACTCTAAGGCAGACTCACTTGAGAAGGAAGGAACTAGATCACAAAATACTACCAGTGGAAAGTGAAAACACCCGAGCAGTTTTTGAGCTAGGTTCCTGCAATTTTCTCTCTTGGTTTTTCAGGGTTTTTTGTGCAGGGCCCCAGACTTTGCGTAGTGTGCTATTTTAGGCACCGATTGTGTATATGGCCTCAAGTTAAGCCTCTGTTGTGAAGAACGGTGTTTACACTTACGATAATAGAAAATACAGAGTCAATTTTTCAAAGTGAAATGGAGAATGTGGCTTGGCCGATCCGACCTAGAAGAGTCCGAGGGCATTTCTCGGTGGGTTAGCATTGCTGTCTTTCCTTTGTCGGTGAGGCAGGCAGGAAAGATTATTGCGGAGTCATGTCGTTAAGAGAGCGCTACCACTACACTCGCTGGCTCCACACATTACTGTTGGGCACAATAGAGTTAAGTTCAAGGGCTTCTTGAGTAGTGGAGATAGAGGTAGGATCCGCATTCAAATCCACATTGGTGTCATCAGCAAATTGAGAAAAATTAACTTGCGTCTCTAGCATGTGTTTGCTGATTTAATCGTGACGGATATTTTTCCATCACCTAATCAACAACTGATGTAAGAAATCTGTATTGAATTGCTTATGGAGGAGTGTATTTGCAATTTTCAGTTCTAGTTGGATTGCCTCTCTCTCTCCCCTTTCTCTCTCTCTCTGTGAGTTATATCTTTTTGAGTTCCATACTCTTTAGCTTATCGGCATGTATGCTTGCAGGTGCCCACAGCGAATCGCCAAACGGGGAAACTATGGTGCCTTCTTAATGGACAACCTCCCTCTTGTGGAATCGCTTGTGAAGAAGCTCTCCCTCAGCCTCAGTGTCCCTGTTTCCTGCAAGATCCGAATCTTCCCCTGCCTCAATGACACCTTGGCCTATGCGAAGATGCTCGAGGATGCTGGCTGTTCTCTTCTTGCTGTGCATGGCCGAACAAGAGAACAAAAAGAAAGCAGGAGTGCACGTGCTGATTGGAATTCGATCAAAGCTGTTAAAGAAACCCTCAGTATTCCTGTCATAGCCAATGGCAACATACGCCATCTCGAGGATGCCCATCATTGCATGGAGGAAACGGGTGCAGATGGGGTCCTCTCGGCTGAAGCTCTCTTGGAGAACCCAGCTATTTTTGCGGGGTTTAGAACAGGAGAGTGGAGAGGTTATGGTGGAAAAGAGGGCGGATTAGATCAAGCAGATTTGGTATTGGAGTACTTGAAGTTGTGTAGGAAGTACCCAGTGCCTTGGAGGATGGTGATATCTCATGTGCATAAAATGTTGGGGGAGTGGTTCAGGTTGCACCCAGATGTCAGAGAGGAGCTCAATGCACAAACCAATGTCACCTTCGAGTGGCTTGAGAATATGGTCCAAGGCCTCAAGGGGCGTGGAACCAGGCTTCGGCTTTACTTGCATATACCCGAAGGGTGCCAGGAATGATTGAATTATCCTGTACCTCTAGGACCCTATTTGCATTTCAGTGGGTTGGTCTGGTATGAGAAGTTATGGGAAAGAGTATATTACAGCTTCTCTAATTCGTGAATCTTGGAAGTTAAAACTTTTGCAACGTAATTTGGGAAAAGAGGATGTTATGGAGAAATCTCCATAGGAATGATTGAATTATCCAGTCCCTTTGGGATATTGGACGTTAAATTTTTTGTAGGAAAAGAGGATGTTATGGAGAAATCTCCATTCTTGACCTTTGGAAGAGGTACTTATGTGGCCGATTGATTCATGGAGCGTCTATGGATGTATATTACTTTTTAAGAAGTTTAATCCTAAGGAGATGATAATTATAAAAAGAATGTTCATGAGCACTATTTTCATGGGAGGGATGGAGAAGACGGTGTTGTTTTCATAATTGTCAACAGTGAGCTTCAATTGGCAGTTTGTTTGCATTCATCAAATGATACTAGCCCTTTTGGGGTCTACTAGATTTAGTGCTTTATCAAGCACCTGTCTGCAGCTCCTTAAGCTTTCCCAGAAGAAACGGGTGGCAATTGGGTTGACCTGACCTGGGTCTAGATCTGGACCCCGGTATTGGACCTTTTGGGTCAAGTTTAGATCCATATGATTTAGATCCGACCTAGGTTAAGTCCGAGTCCATCCTGCATTTTATTGGCTCGGGTCATGGTCGGCCAAATTTGACCCGACATGATATTTATGTATATAATATATATATAAAGAAATAATACTTATATGTTATAAAATATAGATACTAAAATGTTTTATATTTTTTATGTAGACTTGGACCCAACCTGGGTCGGGGTCGGATCCAGTCTGGGTCCAACAAGGACCCGACAGCGTTGGGTGTCGTGTCAGAGTCTGATCTGTTTACACCCTTACGAAAAGAATGCCTCCATAGCTTTAAGGACCCATTTGATATTTAGATTTTACCATCTTTCGCGTCCACCCATTTAAGAGCTCACAGCTTTTCTCGAGATTATTCATGGGAGTTCTATTTTCTCTATAGCCCTTATCTAAGTTCTAAAATACCCTACCTAGTCTCCCTTAAACATCTTTGAAAAAGAAAAGAAGAAAAATGACAAGGGAAACTTTCTATACTTCCCTGCAATATACAGCGTATATACTTCCCCTCCTATCAAGTTGTCTAATTTAAATGAATGGTTGAAATTACTTGTTTGAGATGTCACAAATGAACCACTGACCATGTGATGTGATGTGATTTAGATCCGATGTCTCATAATATTTATTTTAATTTTTTTTGTAAATCATATGAATATGAAATTTGATGTGTGTTATTATTTTAATAGGAAGCACTTAAATAAAATATTTAAAAATATCTCTAGAAAATGAGTAATAATCCTATGAGATCTTCATACATTCATGTGTGTAGGACTTAAAGAACCACTATTAAATTTGGCACAGATTTTTAGAAAAGTTATCACATGAGTGTGAGACTTGACTTTTTTAGAGATCCGTGTGAAATTTAATGGTGATCATTTGAGGTCCTCCACATATGGTTGTCGGAGGGTCTCATAAGGTCATTTTTCATAGAAAATAATAAAAAATACTTTTGAAATTTTTAGGAGTATTTTGGTTATTTTATTTTATTGGAAATATTTTTTTATGTGTTTACGAGTTTAAGAGAGAGGCAGATTCCCCAAATTTAGTGTTCAAAATATTTTGGAGAAAAAATTAAAAATAAAACAGTTTATAGGCACAACATTATAATTGAGGTCATCTCAATTATTTATTTATTTCAGACAGTTGGGAGGTGGGGGAAGTATATAAAATGTGTAGGGCGAAGTATAAATATTTTTCTAAATAATGAACTTCCTAATGAAAATCTTTTTTTAAGTATAAATCGTTTTCGGTGATTGCTCATAAAAGTAGGCGAGGCTATTTATATGATTTGATATCTATAAAAATATGAAGGGAAATTTCTTTGATTTGATGTTAACGCGTACAGATAGGTGGGTTTAGTCTCGCACAATTATATTGGCACTTAGGTGGGGCTATTGCTTTGATTCGATAAATGTCTTAAAACCTTGATTGGTAGGGTGGATTGTGCACCTAAAGATTAAAGATTTGCGTCTCTGTTGAACCATTGATCCAAATCGGGCTCGGTCCTAATAAGAGCCTTATCTCCAAATAGTTGGGGTTAACTGTATTGATCATGTTCTGTCATTCTGCTTTATAAAAGGTTATATCCTAAATAAGACTATAAGTCTTTATATCTTTTTTTATTACTTCCATCCATGTCTTTTTTAGTATTCTTCTTGCTCTTTTAGAGTTTTTTACTTGAACCATATCACACCTCCTAACCGGTGTTATATTGGATCTACGATGTACATGGGCTGTCTGCCTAAGACTATTTTACTTCATCTTATCGCCTTTTGAAGTCAAACCTAAGTTCATTCGAATGTATTCATTTCGAATTCTATCATTTCTTGTCAAGCCACATCTATCTCAACATCTTCATCTCAACTCCACTTATCCTATAGATATGTTGTTTCTTGACAGCCCAATCGTATCATAAAGAAAAGCCGGCTTCATAGCTGTCTTATAGAACCTTCCCTTTAGCTTCATTGAGAATGCGGAGATCACAGAAAACTCTAGATGCAATCTCTACTTCGCCCACTTAGTTCTAATTCTATATACGACATCTTCTTCAATTTCTTAATTTTTCTGGATTATCGATCCGGAGTATAAAAATAGTCCCTTTAGCATATTTCTTTGTCATCAATTTTACTACTTCTTCTAATCTATCATATTACTATTAAACTTGCATTCTATATATTATATATTAGTCTGCCTAATTTTAAAAATTTAAAGTCAAGAGCATCCTTTCAAAGTTCTAACTTTGCGCTGACACCGCTTCTATTCTCATCAATAAAAACTATGCCCTCGACAAACAACATACACCATAGTACCTTATCTTGTAGGTGTCTATTTAACTCATCCATTACTAAAACAAAGAGATATGGGCTCAATGTTGATTCCTAATGTTGGCCTAGTGTCATTGAAAACTTATTTATCTCTCCACTAGTTGTCTGCACACCGGTTAGATTTCCCTTTGACATATCTCCCACCATATCACTGTTAAAAAACAAAAACAAAAAAATCTCTCACAATATCAATATAGAATTTGGATACTTCTTTCTTTTCCAACACCCACCAAATTAAATCCCTAGTCACCTTATTATAAGCTTTCTCTAAATTAATAAAGACCATGTAGAGGTTTTTTCCCTTCTTCTGTCAAAATGGGCCCCCTCCAACAGAGAATTTAAACCATCCATTTGGTGAGTTTCAAGATCTAGGCCTTTATGAGTTCAAAATTAAATTTTTTTTTTTTAACATTGTTAATCTAATGACAATGAAGCTAGTTAAAAAATTTGGAAAGGAAGAATGTCCTTTTAAAGCATTAATGACCTACATTAATTGGGTTAAACAATACTTTCTAGATTGTGCTATCAAATTTTACTTTTTTTGTGATTGTTTATTAGAATAAAATAAATAATATTTAAAATATTGGGGTCAAATAATTGGCCCTAATATGGTTTTGAAGATTGTTTGATTATATTACTATAGAACCAATATGAAATCACTTCCATAAATAGCACTTATAATGAATAGTAATATAGGTGAAATCTCAACTATTAGATCTTGATTTGGTGGTTGAAAATACATATCACTATTTATATTTTCATCTTTTTCTCTTTTTTTTTCACAAAATCATATAGATATGAAATTATGGGTGTACAAACATAACACAATCATATAAAAATATACAAAAATATTTTCGAGAATTTAAAATGGCCAGATTATTCCCATCATATTTAGGTGTATTTTGGTCATTTTAAATTTTAAAAAATATTTGTTCTACAAGTTTTTCTTGTACACATGTCCAAAATTTCATTTTGAATCAACTTATAGAAAAATATTAAAATTCAAATAGTAACATATATTCTCAACCGTTTGATTACGATCTAGCGATTGGAGTTCCATCTGTATTACTATTCATTATAGGTGTCATCTATCGGTATATATGTGTGTGTATGTATGTATATATATTGTTATGTTAGGATACTTATACATGTGAGTTAATGTAATCAATCGTTTTGGACATTCAATACCCTGACTTCATAGTGTAGTGACTTTTTATCTAGGGGTATTTTAGATAATTATACAAGGGCAAAGTAGAAATTCATGAAAAGAAAAAAACATTTACTGCCTATAGTGGATGATAACATTATCGTGACATCACCAACATAGAGCAATGATTGCTTCTTAACCACTAATAAATGTCAATAGTTTTTCAATCACAAATATTTCAAGCATACTAATATATGGGAGGTCAAGGCGAAACATTATTGTTCTTATGCTTGGAAGAGATTTCTAATGGATTTATCTCACCTAAATGACAATGTTCAATGGATTATTGGGGGTGGCCAGCTCGTCAATTTTTGAGTAGATCCTTGGTTATCAAGGCAGTCTATATGGGAGTCATATGGTGGCAGTGTACAAGAGGATTGCGGGATTTCGTTGGGGAGAGGTTTATAATTATATCGAAGGTTCCCATCAGATTTGGGTTCTTCCTCCTACTACAACAACTTCTCTTATTAATATATGGAGGGAGGTTGAGCGCTATACTTTACCCTTACATCCTAAAATGGATTTCCTAATGTGGCTTCACTTTGCTAGCAGTCTGTTTTCGATTAAAGATGCTTGGGAATTTATTCTAAACAAAGGTTCATCACAACATATTTTTTTGAACTCTTTAGAGTTTTAAATGTCACCAGAGCCAAATGGTTTTCTTGGTTGACCCTTCATAATCGTTTACCACTACGTTTTCTTCTGCAACAATGTGGTATTGATATGAACTCATTGCGCCCCTTCTGCAGGAACAATGATGACAATATTTGTCATCTATTGTTTCATTGTGGGTTCTCTCCAGGGTGTATAGAGATCGGTTGCATGACGAAACAGTAAGCATTTCATCCCCGATATATCTACTTCTGATATGATAAGGAGATAATTACGGTTCTGTTTTAAATCATATAGTCATGTTAACATTTGGACTTCTATGTTCTTCACCACAATATGGTTATTATGGGAGGAGCGGAATATGAGAATCTTTCAAACAAAGTCCATTAGAAGGGAACAAATTATTAAGTGGATTTCTTTTTATATTAAGGAGCTAGCAGTTGCGAAAGAATGGGTTTTTCATTTGTCAGAAAATCCAATCATTGGTAATTTTCATATCACATGGCGCGAGTAAAACTAAGACCCATTATTTCGGTGGCTCGGTCATTCTTTGAGTCCCAACATTTCAAGTTGAATATTAATGGAA